GTATGTGGAGTCTTCTCCCTCACACTCCCCCTTCTGTACTACTACACCTATTTGCACCTGTCTCCAGTGCCATTTGTCCAACCCACTGCTCAACTCAGTTTCCCCTCCCCTTCAGGTAGAACTGGGTCTGCGCCTCCATGCTCTGCCCTCGCCCTGAGCTTGGGGTCACACTGGAACACGTCACAGGTGCTTTCGTGGACTGCATCCGGAGCCCCTGGTAGCCAGCTGGCCGCTGGTCACAGTGCCTCCCGAGCACTCTGCCTTCACGAGGCGGCCCATGACGAGGCCACAGCAGGCATGAGCCCTGTCAGTGGCACGATGCAGGACACCCCTGCCGGGCCCTGTGCTACACGCCAGCTGTGAACCAGAACCCCTATTTGTGATGGACAAAAAGACCCAAGTCGCTTGGATTTATTTCGTTCAACTTACACAGAAAGCAAATCCGTATGTAATGAACCAAAAAAACGTTAAAGTATTAAAATGACATATGATCTAGATTGCTGGAAAGCAGTAAGAATCACTCTGAAAGCTCTGAGAGCCCACTGGCCTCACCCAAGGAAACAGATGCATTGTTGATGTATCAAGACTTCACCTTTGAGCCCTTTATAAGCACAAATTAAGGCCATAAAACGTACGGTCTCACAGAATACAGTATTTCAAGTGAAGTTATGGAGATAGGTATTTCATATGAACTCAGGGTGGATCAGGCTAGCACGCGGGCACAAAGGGCCTTACTTTTATATGCATCAGCCCTTCTCCTGAGCCGTTATTTATTTTTAATCATTTTATTAGGGGCTCATACAACTCATCACCATACATACATCAATTGTGTAAAGTACATTTGTACATTCATTGCCCTCGTCATTCTCAAAACATTTCCTCTCCACTTAAGTTCCTGGCATTAGGTCCTCATTTTTCCCCTCCCTCCCCGCTCCCCCCTCCCTCATGAACCCTCGATAATTTATAAATTATTATTTTGTGATATTTTGCCCTGTCCGATGTCTCCCTTGACCCACTTTTCTGTTGTCTGTCCCCCAGGGAGGAGGTCACATCTAGTCCCTTGCAATGAGCCGTTATTTTAATAACGGCATGTTCTGGCTAAAACGCTATCAACTGAGCAGTTGAGTTTGGAGCCTTCATAGCATCGTGCTGCGCCTTAACGTCCTGGTAAAGCTCCACCAAACCCACTACCACCGGGCCCCTTCAGCCTGATGGCAGCCCCTCCCAGCTTTGCAAGTTGTACATCCTGACGGGAGCAGGTAGCCTCATCTTTCTCCAGCGCAGGGGCTGGTGGGTTTGAACTGCCATCCTCGGGATTAGTAGCCCAACAGCTAAAGCGTCCATGATGTGCTCCATTGCCACACACGGCAATAGGACCAGGCCTTTATGTGCACATGCCTTAAGTCGGGAACAACCAAATTCACCTAGTTTCCACCTTGGTGTTTTAACCAGCCTTTTGTTTCACGTCCAAATCAGTTTCCTCCTCTGTCTCTCGAGGCTGCTATCCCTCTTGTGCGTGCTGCTGCATTTGGGAGTGCTGGTGCACTTCCAGTGATATTTTCCAGAGAAAATTAAGTGGAGGGGTCACACACAAGAAGCATGTGATATGCGACAGGACGCTGCTGCCTGCGGGTCAAAAACCCGTATACAGCCAGCATTTGAGATTGAGTGTACTACAGGACCTAGAGAGAGCAGTAATGTGGGCATTGACGACGCCTGTCAAGGTACAAAATGGACAGTACTGACCAGCAGACACCTAGCAGAGGTAAGTGCTTCATACAAGACACTCAGTTCCACTATCTCCATCCTGTTCTCTGATCTAGACTTCTGAACTGTACGAGACGGTTTCAAAAAGCTTGTGGAATAGGCCCATGATCTCTCCATTCCCTTCTCCCATGAAGGTCTTGAGGCACCCCCACCCCACCCCAAAGACTGCTGGGGACCCTGAACATCGCTGCAGTCAGACATTGCCCAAACAGACGTCAGACAGCCTGTGATTGTATTCATAGGCTCAGTCTGATTATTAACGATACACCACAAATCTGAATGTTCCCTTTCCTATGAGGGGTATCGTAAAACCAAGCTTTGGGGGAAAAAAATCTCCTGCAAAGATTCGGCAGAGGCAATCCTCTGTATATAAAGTTACATTGCATTGACTTTCCCTAAAACGACTTCTCTTTCTTCAGCGGCAGGACGGTTCCCGTAGGTAAGGATCGGAACAAGGAACCGGCGCAGGGCTTCAGGAGGCAACGCTAAGTGTGCACACACCCACTGGCCAGCCGTGCTCCAGCGCGGGTCAGAGAAGGGCTCTGAGCGCTGCCGTGTCAGGCACACCATGTCCACCAGGGATCTGTGGCTGGGTCTGCGAGAAGACCTCCAGAGAAGAGGGGCTCTGGGAACCCTTCACGTGGGAGATGGGTCCTCCCCAATGCAAGGGGCGCCTCATGGACCCTCGTCTTGACAGGTGGTCATTCCTGCCAAGGAACTAGATGCTCCAGCGGGATCACTCTTCTTTGCAAGGCAGTGGGATCCCTCCGTCAGGAGGACAGCCTGACTTTGAAGTGAGGCTGAAGGGGGTATACGTCGCAGCTTTGCTACCTAACTGCACGGGCAAACTACCTCGTCGGTCGTTGGTCGCAGTGGTTACGAGTTGGCCTGCGAACCTCAAGGCTGGCAGTTTGAAACCACCAGCTGCTCCTCTGGAGAATGATGCAGGCTTTCTACTCCTGCAGAGTTTTCAGCGTTTTACCCGCAGGAGCAGTTTGACCCTGTGCTCGGAGTTGGCGTTGACCGGATGATAATAAATCTGGTTTTGGTGTGGTTGGGACCCCAGTTTCCTCATCTGGAAAACGAATGCCGCAAGACTGTTGGAAGGGTTAGGAAGCAACACATGAAACACTGAAGGCAGAGTTCCTGAGACGCAACATAGGGTAAACCAAGCGCCCTGCTGTGGGGCCGGTCCCGCCACAGAGACTCCAAGCTGCACATCATTAGGGGAGCAGACAGTCTCCTCTTTCTTCTCTCAGAGGAGCTGATGGCCTGAACTGATGACCTCGCGGTAAGGAGCCCAACGCTTCTCTCACAGCACCAAGAGGGCTCCCCTTCAGCATTTGGTCTCGAAAACTCACCGGCACTGAGCCGATTCCAGCTCACAGTGACCTTACAGGGCAGAACTGTCGCTTGGCTTTCTGACACTTTAAACCTTTACCGGAGTAGACAGCCTCATCTTTCTCCCATGGAGCAGCTGGTGGTTTCAAACTGCTGACATTGTGGCCGGCAGCTCACTACCCCACCTGGGCTCCTCCAGCACATGGTAGCTGTTATTCCAACAAGCAAGGCAGCCACTGGGAGGGGGCACTGGGCTGCTGCGCACACAGCGCTGACAGACCGCAGGACTAGCGCCTCCTGTTTCAGCTGTACCCTACACATAAGCTCAAAGCCTTGAGCGGTAAAGGGACTTCCGTCTTCAGAGCCAAGTGTGCGGCCTGTTCCTCGCATTAAGCTTGGATGGGCATTCAGAAGGTACTGCAGTCTCCCCAGAGTCTCACTCGTGAACCGAAGCCTCACAGTAGCTTGTTACATTGCATATCGACCTGCTCTTCCTTTAGGGGACCATTCCACTTAAATTAAGACTCCTCTAACTGGCATTTCAGGCTGTTAACCACAAGCTTAACAGTTCAAGACTGCCAGTCACTCCGCGGGAGAAAGCAAGGCTTTCAACTCCCCCAAGCAGTTACAGGCTTCAGCACTGACAGGGGCAGTTAGTTCTATTCTGTCCTATAAGGGGTCACTATGAGTCAGAATGGATTCGATGGTAGTACTTTTTTTTTTAAACTGGTTTTTCCCATGTCGGTCTCCCAGGGAACATGAGAATGATCTTCCAATGCTGAAACTGTTCTGAAGGTTAAATAATCAAAATTATTCCCCGGTACAAAATACGGTAGTTTTGTATAATTACACTTTTTCAGAAGTATCCTTTGGTGTGTCAGGACTACCATGAGTCAGGTGCTCAAACGCTCTACTAGCAAAATACCGGATGAACTAAAAATGATGACATTAGTTCCAGCCCATAAAATGAACACAGTTTGAAATGTAATGATAGCCATTACATTTAATAAAATACATAATAAATATCAGGGTACATTAACATGGGGTCAAAACCTTCCTTTACCCGCTTCTGATTTGTCTCTGGCAAAACACGTGCACTGAATGCCTTGCTTATCAGGGTTAAAGTGGACCCTTTCAGAAAGCAGTGCGACTGTACTTCCCAAGAGCTTGAATTCTTTCTACCCTTTAACTTAGTAACTCTACCACCACGAATGTGCCCTACAGAAATAATAGTCTCAAGTACAGAAAAATAAATGTTTTGTGCACAGATATGTTTGCTGTGGGATTATTTATAATTACGAAAGAACAGAAAATAGCCCAAGTGTCTATGAGCAGGAAAAAATGGTGAAGTACTTTTACGACATTCCCTGAATAGACTACTGTGTCGACATTAAACTGGAATATTTACAAATACTATGCCATAAAGAGAAAAGGCGGACATTATAAATAATTAATTACTTATTATAAATCATAAAGCTGACAGCATTAAGGCAGGGTAGGAACTAATGGCCCCAGACTATAACTCTTTACAGGAGCAGAAAACCTCCTCTTCTCCCAAGGATCAGCTGGTGGATTTGAACTGCTGACCTTGCAATCTGCTGCACCACTACAGCTCCTCTCAACTCATGGAGACCCAGTGCAAGCTTTCCGAAGCCTCTTTTCTATGAGGACATGTATGTGCAAACACATTTATATTCAAGCTACAAAAATTTTTTTAAATCCACATGCATGGAAGAAATACTGAAAGGAAAAACAAAACCGTGTCTAGTACTACTAATGCTGTTATATTATGGACTTTGGTGTTGTTTGTTTCTTAAATCTTTTCACCAGTATTGTGATGATAATCTGAGTAGTTTAATGATAACAAAAGAAGAGCTTTGAAAGAACTTACCATCTATACAAAAAAAAAAAAAAGTGCAAAACTTTCATGATGCAATAATATATTCCTGCAAACTTTTCTCACTGAATGCATTCATTTTCAAAAGGTTTCCTCCTAGAGGGCAGTAGGGAAGGAGGAGGAGGAGGAGTCAACGTGCAGGGCGGCGGCCGCCCAGAGGGACTTACATAATTGTCTCTTGCAGACCAGCCTGGGTAAAGCTGCATGTGTAGCTGTCTTTCCTTCCGCGCTAATTCATAATATTTAGCCTGCTCTTCACGGGACAGGGCATGCCACTGAAACAAAAGAGGGGGGGCGGGGGGAAGAAGCATCAAACAAAAGTAAACAAAGGAGCAACAGTGTGACCGAGTTCACGCTTCAAACACGAGAAAATGAAGATATTTGGCGCCGCAACTTTGATTTATTTTTCAGGCAGTGGCAGGCGACCAAGGGCTGCAGAAGGGAGTCTGGTGGCCACCCTGAAACTCAAACCTCGGTTTCTGTATCCTGTTCTCCGGTCACAGGAAACACATCAAAGTCCAAGCAAGCATCCCGAGTAAAATGAGCTCGTCACCCTCCCGTGCTCCTTTCCAGCGTAAAGTAACAGGAACCCTCACTGGTGAACCTCAACACCAAGCGTTGCCCTTGCTTCTGAGCCGGCAGCACATTCTGCCCGCTGAGGCCAACGGCCACTTTATGCACCAGATGCTCATTCCCAGATGTCTTTTCTCACACAGACACACAGCCCCCCGTGGGCACTCTCCCGCGGGGTCCTGTGAAGTGGGTGAAACCCACCACGTTAATGAGCTAGCATCGCATGACTGCCGGCAGAGCAAGACCTAGAACGCCAGCCGGCCTTCCAGCCCCTTCTCCCCTCGGCGACACACGTGAACTCCGGCCGCAGGGAGCAGGCTGGAGACCTCGCACACCACATGGCTGGCGTACTGGACAGCTGACCAGCCTTCAGTGGACAGACAGGAGCACATTAGCTGTGTTGATTTTGTCATCTGTAACTGGACAACACTTTCTTCCCCACTAGGAATACTGTGACTGCTGACATCTGTCAAACTCCCCTCCCCATTGCCCCTTTGTGTAACTGGTGTGGTGTGGGGTGGGGTGGTGTGTGTGTGTGTGTGAAATCGCTCATATATATCATCTTCTGTAGCAAAAGAGCATAATGGGACAAGATCCCCGTTTCAGGTTTTAACAGGCTTACAGTTTGCTCGCTGCTTTGCATACATTTGCACAGGGCTTGCCCTACCCCCCACCCCCACCCCCACCAGTTTCAAGTCTGTTGCGATACCCTCAAATGCTAGCTAGGATCGTCCAGTAGACCCACGGAGGTTGGAGGGGGGATGGCAAGGCTCTGGGGGGCCCCACTGGCCGGGAAGTCATCCCTCGGAAGGCAGCAGCTGGACAAAGGAGAAATCAGCCAGCCCATCTCTCGGCCTCAGCGGCACACAGACAAGGCGTGCTACCTCCCTAAAGAGCTGCACTCTCGGAAACGCATGGGGTGGGAGGTAGTTCCACCCTGTCTTGCATGGTCACTATATGAGCTGAACTGACTCATGCGATGGCAGGTTTTTTGTTTTGTTTTGTTTCCAGTGCAGCAGCCCTGGCCAGCCCCACCTCAGCCTGAGCTTCACTGGATTGATGCCACCCAGGGCAGTCATTCATGGCGAGCTCCGGTGCCCTCTGTGGGTGGGGCCAGCTGGCAGCCACCCAATCCCCTTCTCGTCAGTGTCCCAGGAGACCCCACACCGGGGCTTCCCATCACTCCCCCTACCTCTCGAATGGACTAAGGTGGTGACCAGACTGCCCCAAGGTGGGGGCAGTGGGGAGGGTGAATGAAGGTAGGGGACAGGAGAGGATGGTAGCAACAAGTGGAACTGGTTCTTCCTCCAATGCCCGGCCTTGGTGGCCCCTTCTCCACAGTGGCAGCAGGACCCCGGGATCACTTTGGTGTCGCCCCAACGGTGCAGCAGGTGCAGCATGCTGGGTGGGTGCGCCCCGCCAGGAGCCTCCATGTGCCAGTGTTCCAGCACTGCGTGTGGAGCTCCTCTCTCTCCGTTGCCTTCCTGGCTGAGGCTGGGGGACCCTTTCCTAGTCACGGGCGAGCTGAACTTCAGACATGAGCTTGGTTTACAAAACAGGATTTACTGTTGCGATCATTATTTTTAACATAGTATTTCAAAAATGTGGGTGGGCAAGGAAGGGAGAAAGGGAAGGCAGGTGGCACAAGAAAAAGACTCTCAAAGAAGAGCGGGGTGCCTGCTCCTCCTCTTTGAGGACAGAACAGGAGCTGCCTGAGCCACCTCCAGGGAAGCCCCGGAGCACCTGCCCTCCACCCCAGAGCTATGCACACGGCACCACGCCGCCCACCGATGAGGCAGCAGATGGCATTTCCTGTGGAAACGCCTGGAAGGCCAGGCCTCTGGTCAGAGAGGGTCAGTAGTGTGTTTATTTTTAAACTGCCTTCCGAGTATTGATCGGAATGGCATAAGGAATGAACATACTGGGGGTGGGGAAGGTAGGCAAAGTGATGAAAACTTAAAAGATGTATCCAAACAACTCAAGGGAATGATTAATTAGCTGGGCTCAGGATAGTAGCTTTGTGGGAGGTCAAGGTCAACTAGCATTAACAAAGTACACACATACACACCACACACATATACCAACAGTGTTCTACATCCTAATTTGGGGCCTCGCGACTGAGGTCTGCAGAATGGGTGAGCACCGACCTCAGGTCCGACGACAGACAGGTTTCTCCCTGAGGAGAAACGAAGAGCGAAGAAAATGAAAGCCGAAGGCAACGATGACTAACGACAATGGCCTCACTGACCACACAAAGCACCCCG